CTCTCTCTCTCTCTCTCTCTCTCTCTCTCTCTCTCTCTCTCTCTCTCCCCTTCTTCTTCTTATTTCTACATGATTATAATAAAAAATAAATTGATTTTTTAATCCAAATCATAGATTAATCAAATAGAAAGCTATTGTATCACATATTATTAAAAGTACTTAAAGAAAAAGATAATTATTTCTCACACATTTTTCTAATAATAAATACATTTTCGGTTTGCAAAATGTTCACGTCACAATTTTGAGGAATTTAATATTGAATTAACAGACTGATTTAGCATAATGTACGCTACAGTTGCATATGCGACATGCTAAAAAAGTTACATTCAGAATTAAATATATATTGTAAAGTTAAAAGTAATTTGTTGTCAAGATTAAGATTAATAAGATCCTCGTAATCAAATATCGGATTGCATCATAAAGAAGTTGTAAATTAAACAATTATGTGAATAAACATTGTATCCACTGCATATTATATTCGTCCGTTTTAATTCACTATTTTTTCCGTCATGTATTGTAATAATAGATCTAATATTGCACGATAATTTTATAAATCTTTAAAATAAATTCCTCTTACAAACATAAAAAATGCTAATAATATACTTTTGAATGCATAAAAGTTTTTTCAACATGTCACATACCGTTGCCGTATTGGGAGGCTTGACAAAGATCGTCGTACCAAAATAGTCTTTTCTTACAATTTCAATTTTTTAAAAACTTATTACTGCGATAAAATATCTAAGAAGTCGGAATCGTACTGATCGTACATCAAAAACTCTAAAGGGAGACGATTATCTTTCTTATGCTTGAAGAAAGGAGTTATTTTTAGTGAAATATCTTATCATTAGAAATGCAGGGCGATAAATAGTTTCCTGTGTCACCGCAAGTCTTGACCGATTTCTAGGAAGAAAAATTATATATATCGGCAGACACGTAAGAATCGGATATCTCGCGGCGTCTATGACAGCAACGAACGACGATTTATTCCCGACGTCATTTTCAGCGTCGCGCGGAGTTGCGTGTGAATCACGTTTTTGCCCCACTTTATCCCACGTTCCGGCATCTCACGAGTGAATCCGTCAAACTAGAATTAGAAGAATTAATTAAACGCTTTATTATACAAACGAGAAGAACTCGCGGTACTTATTGTAATATATTTAATTAGAATGTGGATCGATTTCGAAAGATCAAAGTAGCGTTTGTGATCAACTATGAGGAGGGAAGAGAGATTGAGTCCGATTCGATCCCTTGTACATTTACAGATTTTTCATGTCTGGTAGAAGCTGAAGACCGAAATAGATTGCCCCGCGGGGTCCTTTGTCTCTCAGTTAATGAACAGGCTTGGTGATTTCAAGCACGTGCATCGATTTTCAGATATAGCCACTATAATATCACCGACCACTTTGCTCTTGCTCTGGTCGATTACGATCTTGAAAGATGTAGCGAGAATTGTCATAAGAAATATCGATCGGTTGTTTTATATTACGAATAAAAATATTTCAATTATTACTAATATTTAAAACACTACAGTTTGCATATTAATTATGAACATTTTTTTTGCTAAAGTGGAAGATATTTCGTGGATACTGTATACGTGGATAATAATTATCCGTATATATACACAATACATAATTATATTGTATTGCAATTATATTAATTATAATATTAATAATAATAAATCAAAAAATGAACCAAAAATCAAGAAGGACCGTTAGTATATAGTATACTCAAAATCAATACATCAAAATCATGTCGTCACGAAGTCTAAAGACAGCGTACGACGTTTTACGGCTTTCGCCCGATAGTTAACACGCCGGTAAATTGATTGTCAGCCGTGTAAAACCGTGTTCCCAACGGATCTAGCAACGGTAACGAAACCGCAATGCAACGCGGTAATGTACTTTCGCGCGAGCGTCGACTGTGTGACCTGCGGCTCGCGGACGCGATCGGTCGGAAACGAATCGAGTGGTAAATCCACATTCGCTCGCCGCCTCTGAGATTTCGGTTACTTCGGTACACGTGTCTGTCACGGTAGAATCTGGCAACTCTATCCGAAGTTGGATGTTCTTTCTTTTATTTCAAATTCCTACGCAACGCAAGTATACTACGCGATAAATCGCGAAATTTTGAAGGGATTTTAAATAAACAATTGATTCATTACATAAAGTCTCAGCAACATAAAAATGCTCTCCGTAAATATAGTATTCGATTCAAGTTAAAATATCAGATAAAACTCGATACGTATGTATGCATCGGTACACGTGATAACTTACGAAGATAAATGAACTCCTTATTTATCGAACAACAATTTACTTACCAAGTCGATACAATTCCTTCGCTTTAATCAATAAAGTTGTTTTGTTTTTAGGAAGATAAACTTTATATTTCTGGGTTACGTATTCAAGTACCTTATACTTGTGCACGTGCAGAGTAATGCTACAGAAAAAGGGATAATTCCTATAAAAAAAAATAAATGTAAATTTTTTAACGCGAAACTTTACTTTCGAGAAAAAATGACTGTGAACATCTTTCGTCCACCAAATTCATCTTAATAGTAAATATACACATACACATAAATAAAAAGCACATTTCCATTAGTAAAACAATATCTTTTTATACATATTTTGATGATGGCTAAGACAAATTCTCTGGAAAATCATTTAATCTTAGCGTTACTCATTTTCTAATTTTCAAAATTATTATTCTCGAGAATAAAATCTCTCATAAAAAAATTATATTCTGCGCTTTCTTGACTCGTCTTTTCACGCAAGATTACCCTTTCTTGGAGAAATGCCTTGTATAGCGAGTGACTTTATATCACTCACCGACTATATAAATGCGTAAATCTATAATATATCACTTAAAGAAGGAAAAGTGTGGCGAGCGTGGCAGCTGCGATGTTTCATAAATCACAAGTACGATACTCGGCACTCGGCCACTCGGACCGTAATGCCGTCGCTGAGAAACCGGCTTGTACGTAAATCTTCACGTCCCGGACGGCGCTTTTCTGTTCCAGGGTGCGCGGACGGCGGCGACGCGCCCAAGAAGAAAGGTTTCTTCAAGGGCTTCTGGAAACGGTCGCGCCACTACTCCCTGGAGAACCAATAGCCCAGGTGCGCGAGGGTGACGAGCCACCAGCATCACCAGCGGTACAGGCAGACGCGGCAGCAACGGCAGCGGAGCGGCATCGCGGCTACCACAACCCTCGCGAGCAACCCCTGCTGCTGTATCGTCCAGTAACCCCGATTTGCACGCGTATATCGACCGCGACCATCCTCTCTCATCTCCCCGACCGAGCAGAGCCCCTTTGCACTCTCGCGTTCCTCTCACGCGCAGAATTTTCGCGCGCGTGTTTCACCCTCTCCCTTCTAAGTCCGTTATGAACTAAAATAATATTCTGTGTATGATTTAATAATTTTGGGAGCCCTCGAGTCTATATACATGCGACATACACATCCACAAATACACTCTCACACACACACACACATACAAAAAGTACACAAAGTATAAACTTGCGAAAGATTATTCTTCACATTATATCTTGTACCTTTAAAAAAGAGAAAAAAGTGAACTCCAGAGATCTGTTGTATGTACATAGATTATAGTGAGATAATTGATCTTTTTGTATCCGCCCTCAACGGTATATATTAAAACGAAATCTACCCCTTTTTTTCCTTTCAGAACAAGGTCAGCCGGCATGATATTTCAGGTCCGTCGAAATAGGGTGAGTCACTGTCGTGTTATTCGGTTCCCATTTATAATTTTTATATCTTTTTCAAATTTAATGATTAAATCGATAAATTTATCTCAATACGATAAATCGATTGATTTAATCATTAGCCGACTTTCGGAAGCACTTCCGACAAGGGAATTTCTCGATGATTTTCCACGCGAAAACTTCGAGAGCTCTCACGCGCAAAATAATTGGACGCCAGCCTTACTTATCGTCACTAATCAGCTCGAGAATTTTGCGCAACGCCGGGGAATCTCGATTTACTTTCGCGGGGGGAATGTGTCACGGTGTCTGGAACGAGAGTCCGTCTCGTATCGAAGCGCTTCTTCACGCTGTCTTCGTCACGCTGTCTGTCACGCTGCATTGGGTTTCCTCGCCACGTGTTATCACGCGCCTAAAGAGACTCGGCAAGTCGTGACCGCGGCGATTGGCGTGCGGACATACGACGGGCTTCTTTCGCCAATTGACGAATTCATCCTATCGATCCCTTGGACTAGATTACTCTTTACAACCGCGCGATTACTCTTTGATTACTAATAGCAAGATAAAAATTCTATCCGATTTTCATGAAACTTGGGACTAATGGATTTCTTAAGTGTACACCAGATTTCAAGATCTCTCGGACTTGACTGGCATTCTTTAGAACGCAAAAATTTATTGCATTATTCCAAATTTAGGGGTCGCCATATTGGATCGGTCATTTTGAATTTTGCAATTTTTACTTTAAATTCGTGTTCAGCAACCTAAAAAAAACCCTGGTACCGAGTTTTTTAAAGAAATTCGCCAATTTATAAAAGTTTTTGAAAGTTTAAGCCGCCATATTGGATCAGAATTTTGTAATTCTGATCCCAAATTCGAATTCCACGATCCCTAAGCACTAAGTTTCATGAAAATCTTGCTGACTGTGAAAAAATAAAACGATTTGCGCCATATTGCGTCAATGCTAGTCAAAGGGTTAATTTTTAAGGAGAATCGAATCTTAAACGTTTTTAATAAGCAGGATAACTTTACATGGCGTACCGTTCAAACGGTTCTGACAATGACAGTTTCGAAAAGTTTCTTATCGCAAGCGGCCGCAATAAAACTTTCTTATCGCCGCGCGAATACCGCATTTCGTCGATTGGCGAGACCGCGTCGCCTTTCGCAACTCGAATTTTTCCATCTCACCCTCCTTCTTTTGTAATCGAAAAGCGCACTCCGCGTTTGTAGAAACGAAACGAGAAATATAACGATAATAAACGATTAAATATGCAGAGTATATATTTGAGTATACTCAACTGCGTGCGTGTGTGCGTGTGTGCGTGTGTGTGTGTATGCGTGTGCGCTGTGCGTGCGTGCGTTGCATATGTGTTCCGTGTGCATGGATAAGACGAGCGAGAGCGCGAGAGTAAAAGGGAAGAAAGCGAGGATATACGGGCGCAAATGCGACGAGATGTAAAAGAGGATATCATACCGCGCATTATTATTGATACGACTGTAAGTTCATAGAATCATTAACACGTTGTAATGTTATTATTAATGGAACGTGACGTAATAGATGCGTACGTTCAGGCGTACATATAACACATACCCACACTCTGACACGCGTTAATGCTAAGAGGAATAATATTATTGATTAACACATTATTGCCAATAATATATGATTAACTTACGGTTATAGTTGATAATGTAACGAAGAGAGACCCGAGACGATAATCGACGATGATAGCTACGATCGTGTATGTATTTAATAGAGTTTTTAAGTCAATGTGTCGCATTCATCCCCCCTCGGATATCCGACGAAGACGGCTGCCGGCTGTTAAAAACCGTCGGTCGAATGCCAAAGATTCGGTACCCGTTCGGTGCGTCGAGCTCGGGAGAGACTGCAGGAGGGCGGAAACTATCGACGAACCTTTCGCAATCGGCGTCTTATCATATACAGGGTGTTTCCTAACATGTGGGATCCCACATTTTAGGAAACACTCTGTGTATTTGTAAAATATTCCTCATCGATTTCACATTCACGCGACCGCGATCGCGATGTTTATATTGAAAGTGAACGAAAGAATTGCGTTATCCTTTCCCGAAGATTTACGTTTACGATCGAATCGTGGACGAAAAGTCTGCTCTTTTTTTCTTTGCAAATAATGATATCTGGATGTGAGAGTAATTTTCAGTGGAAAAAAAAACTTCGGAGGCAAAAGGATATTCGACGCCATGGAATGTTTCACCGAACGTCGCGCGCAAAGGATGATATTGCTTTTTATCTCAGATATTATACGTTTAACTTATTTTTTAAATGGAGGACTTCGTCAAGTGTATCTTCTTGCCTCTGACACTCTCGATTACTCGTTAAATGTTAGACAAATTGACAGACGCTTGAAAAAATATAATTTATCTTACTAAACGTGTTCCACTTTATTATTTCTATATTATCTTCACAGTTCGTCGAACCGTAGTAACAGGCTCCTGCGAATTGCAAAGCGATTTCTACGAACGGAACGGTCGTTGTTCTCGAACTGCTATTCTACACATTTATTGACAACGATACGTTCTCTGTTCTTTATTTTCCGTTAGAAAAAAAAAGGAAGGTGTTCGCGCGGCGTGTTTTCTCGTGGAAAAAATCTCGGTCTCAGAATTTAGAGTAGCAGCGAAATGGCGAATACAATGCGCGACAGGTTTCTCGATCGATAAAGAACAATGGGCATTTACGGAGCATCTGTCACGGCAAGGTACAAGCGTTAACACTTTGCCACTCGTCCGTCGTACGTTAACGATAAATCGCTTTAAAAATAATCTAAATAACCGTACACACTGCGGAACGTTAACGCTATTATTACCGCGTCTCGCAGGTCAGATCAGGTCAAATTAAATCAGGTTGGGGCAATGGCGAGACAAATATATATACCTCGTAACTCAAGAAGTAGGACAGAATAATCACAACTGAAAGAATTGATTTCTAACGAAAGCTGAATAAATTCTAATCGCTAATTCAATACCAGAGTATGAGTGATTAAATATAAAAGAAAAATAATATAAATGCATGATAGAACGTTTTGAATAACATGAAGAAAGGCATTCTAATTTTCTACAGGTCCCTTACATGTAACATTTTAATCATTTTAGCTACCAGGAATTGCAGAATCTTTCGATTCGAGAAGTTTCAATTTAACGAGATCAATCCATATAGAGTTATCTCGTTGTTCCATCGAATTCTTTATGTTGTCTATCTCTAATTTGTCCACGTGTCGAGATCTCATCGGGAAGCTAAGAAGACAGGCTCGGCACTATTAACGCCGACGTGCCGTACATAATGAAAACCATCGCGGAGAACACGTCGCGTGCATTTCCCCACCATTCGCGAGAGATCCGGTGTCATCTGCGAGACGCTGTTTGACGCACTCGTCAAGCGGCCTTATATCGAGGTCACGACTGACAATCGGCGAGATCACGCTCGCGACGTGATCCCCGACGAAACGAGAGTTTCGCAAGTTTGACGCACTTGTCACAGAAGATGCGATCTGCCGAGGACAAGAGCGAAAATCGGACTTACGAATGGATTTTCCGCGCCGAGAAATACGCGCCTTTTCCTCCGAAGTAATTCGCAACGCGCGGAACAAACGCGCGTTAACTTTATTCCGGAGTGTTAATTACTTTTACATTCTCATCGACGTAAACGCGCGTTTATTCCGAAGTCCCCGAAGCGCCGAGGACTATTCGCGCGTTAGTCGCAGGTCGCAGTCTTCGCCGATGTAACCGACGAGGGTCCGCCGGATAACAAGCGAATTACAATGCGATGACTAATGTCGCCTCTGCTGCGCTACGTGGCGAAATAGCCATTTCGCCTTCGCTTCGAGGCTCACGCGCCGAGCGGTCGTATACGTTTCGTCGATGGTCGTCGTTCCTCGTCGTTATTTCATGTCACGTCACGACGGCGGGCAAGTCCGGAAACGTCGACCGTTCAACGGAGAACCCACCAGCTTTCTACGGGCGTGGAATCACACGAGCGGAATTTTCACGCGGACGACCGAAGAGAGCCGGACACGACGCAACGGGGAGCCGGCCGTCGCCGGTTAAGATCCATCGGGAGAAAAAAAGAATTCGGGCTTGGAGTAATAAAGAAGTAGTAGCTAAACACCAAACCGTATGCCTTATACGCGAGGATTAGCGATGGGATTACAAGTAGATTCGAATCTGTTGACGTAATTTTTCCAACTCTCGATGATTACCTCGAGAAACAAGAGTATTACTTTCTAAGCGGACTCGAATCTGGATCAAATATATGTTCGAATCTTTTATGAGTACGTTACTAGAAATTTTAGTACAGTATTTTTTGATAATTACAAATATTAGATCATTGATTATTGAAATTAAATATAATAAAAATTTGATTAAAAATATAGAATAAAAGTTACATTCTTTAAATTAACAACTTATCATTCTTAGAGTTCGAGTATAACTACTTGTATAAAAGATTTGATTCTTTACGAAACTACTTATACGTACATTTCGAATCCTGAATAAAATTCAAAACCAACTAATCGGGATCGATTATTTCGCAAGTATAATGGTATGAAATATTATTTCTTATGAATATTACTCGAATCCTAGAAAATGAAACTTGATTATTAAATTTGACTTCGATTCTTATAAGTGTGTTAATCCCATCCTTAGCAAGAATCCGCGCTGATATCATTGCGAAGGTAATTCCCCCTATTCGAATATCGATATCAATCACGACGATGACAATGTCCCGCGATCATCAATCAGAAAAATACTGCACGTATCTCGGTATTTTTTGCCTTAAGACTTTAATAAATATATATAATAATTTAAATCGAAATCATGATTGCGCACGGAGAAAAAGGATTTTATGCCAAAAGCAGCAAAATTATAGCTGCGTAAAAAAATGTAGCTATAACATAAAACTTCACTATTATAATTGATCGAGATCAATAGCTGAAAAGCCATGTTTTATTTTAAAAATCTTGCCGAATTCGTTTGCTGCAAAATTATTTTTTGTTAAAATTAGTAGCAATATAATTTTTCTTAAGGAATCTTTTTGTTATCTGTATTAATAATTAAGTAATTAATAATATTTATTACGGCAGCTTAAAATATGTTGTGTCAGCAATCTTTCTTCTCCGTTTAACAGTCTTTTATCAGCCATGGAAACAAATGGAACAACTTAGTAAGAAAAAAAAATCAAGAGATCGATATCTTGATCATTCGAACTGCGAACTTCGAACTACATACCTGAATACAATGCAGCATGTATAATTCGATATACGGGGCTTTTGTATATTTTCCTTCAAGTCATCGATGCCATGCGTCGATTGACGATGTCGGAAAACGAAAATCGTCAAAGATACACTTGATTCACGCGTTACAAAGCGATCCGGCGAAAGTAGCTACAATTTAACGCCACTGATGCCAAAGGACGCCAAAATGCTTCGACAATTCTCGACGAAATTGACAAGAGGTAATCGAGAGAGAAAGAGAGAGAGAGAGAGAGGAAGGAACTGCATGGAAGCAACGTCATGGCAAGAAGGAGAAATTATATATCTCGCGGAAGATTGCACTTGCGCAATTATACAAATTGCATGTGTGAACGATGCGGCTCGGGGAGAGACCTTCGCGCGTCCTCGTTATGTTATATAAATTTTGAGATTCAGCACGTACACTCGTACCACACAGACACACACACACAGAGCGTTCACATAAAAAAATTTATAATATATATATTGTATCATACGTGCTCTCGTAATTTGTTTCGCCTATCTAGATTACGGTGTAACTCTGTGTAAAATTACATCACGTATGGCGCACATCTATCGCTAAGATGTTGTTTAACAATGATGTTACGGTCGACGTGTTCGATCGGGCGCTCCTCCTCGCTGGGGCCGAACCGTCAAAAATGAAATTCTGCCAATGAGAAAGGGGATACCTACTTCGCAAGTCGAACATTTTCGAGGAAACGCGTTATGCAAATTTGCAACGAGAAACACTCAACGATACACATAAAAAAAATGTTCCATCATCATGCCATTTTATGATAATGACTAAAATAGAAGTAATAGAACCTTTAGAAATTCTATGAAAATTCCGTTTTTTAAATAAAACTTTTATAAAACGAGTTCAAGATGATTATGAGTCGCAACAAGTGGATCGATTGATGTTTAATAAAACATGGATTTTACAAGTTGTAAATGTATACCAAGAAAAGGGAGATTCGAATCCGGATAAATGGATAGGAGAGTAATGAAGCGCTATTCATAGAACTGACTCGAATATTGGCGAGAAACTAGTACAAAATCGATAGCTTTACTATTTCAAGGGAACATGTGGTCCCCCGCGATATGAAAAATCTCACAGTATGCTGATCTCGGCGAGATCGAGCGCCCGGTGTGTCAACGCCAGCGTACCAACGAATACTGCCTCCCCCCTCCCTTCCTCCCCGATAAATTTGTAAGCTGAAGTTATTGGAATTGTCCTATCCCTATGAAGGAGAGAATATAGAAATATATCGACATTTTTAGATTAAACACATATTGTGTATTTATTTGCACTCGACTCGACTGATCGTGATTGTTGCCAATAAATTTATTACGACCGGATTTATATTTTTCTTTTTCTTGGTGTTTCGCATTTGTGTCACTTCGACGCTGGATTATTCATTACCGAATGTCATCGACATACTGATAAAATCAGTTAATTGTTAATACATTGCAATTAGTGCACTAATTTTAGGCAATCTGATTAATCAATTTTAAACGTATGAATTTTGAACAATTTGACTGGTCGACTTTGAACATACCTCATTTAAAAACTATTATATCGGCATTTTGATACTAGGATTTTTATCTTAGAATGATCTCAAGAATTTGCCATTAATGGATATCACAATAAGTCTTAGGACACCCTGAATTGATATCCCGAATAAAATTCCTTGCAGTCGATATTCATGACTATTTATATACAGCGACGATGCTAAATAGAGAGGAAACGACATAGTCATAGTCTAGTTATGACCTTTCGGTGAACCGTCATTTCGCTCGGAAATGCGGCAATCTTTCGCGGAAATACCTACCGCAGTTTCCATCGATGCAATATAGCGGTAGACCGATATCTTTAAAAAAGTCGAAGACACTTGTTCCTGCCTAACGTTTTAGTCGTCAATTTTTTAAAATATCACTATTCCTTGTTTTAATCAGTATACCATCTCGTCGAATACCATTTCAGTTTCTATTTTGTTAGCAATTACATATACATAGAATAGAGATATGCGAACAATTCAAATCCGAACTATTCAAAAATTTCGTATCTAGATGGTCGAATACGAATCATATATATTATCAATTTTATAAAATTACATTTCCTGTTAATGAGCAAAAATACGGTCATGTATTAACATTCAGGTGTATTCAGTATTACAACCACTTACTGAGCAGTTAAATAGTCAAAAAGCAGTCAAAAAGTATATTTCTAATTTGTTCTATGACCCTATCAAATTATGAGTAAAAGTTTAAATATGCGTAAAAAAATAGTAATAAGCTATGAGTATTGATAATAAAGTAAACTACATTATTTTATTTTAATTTGTATAATGTGTATAATGTAATAATATGCATGTATAATGTAATTGGATGATGTTATTGAATACTACATTAAAGTATTTTAATAATTTATCTATGATTTTTTACCTAATTGTTTCAATTATTGCGACATCAAATAAAATATTAGTTTTATATTAAACATGTAAATACGTTTTTTGCTTTAAAAAGAATTTACATTATACACACACAATCAATATTATACTTTTTTACATTAAAATATTCTCTTATTATCTACGTGTTAAAATTAAATCTAATAATTATATTATTAATTAGAAATTATATTTCAACACTTCGGTTTCAAATCATTCGATTCGCTTCGATTCGAATAAAATTTTGTTTATCGATTCGATTCGATATCAAAAATCGTTGATTCGCACACCTCTATATTATAGAAGATATTCTGCATGCTCATTTTTACTTCAACAAGTTTTATGACGTAAACGATAAAAGGTGAATATTTATTTAAAAAAGAGAATAATATGTACCTACCTTGGTTGCATTTCAATTCGTCGAAAACACCGTCGTGTTCGCACTTGGCATCGATTTCGTTAGCGACTTGCTGAAACGCTTCGCATTTAGACGCAAACACCAAACGTCTTGAAGTTTGTTTTTCTTTTGCACCACTTTGTATACAAATTTATTATTCTCTCAGACACAATTTCGCTCTGTTCGATTGTGCGTCTCCCGTCCTCGTCGTCGTCATCGTCGACGTATGCAAGGGATTTTAAGAGGAAGTATATGTATTCCAGCTTTACAAAAGTTACATCTAGTTGTCCGGCGCGTATATGCTCGTTGCCCTCTCGTTGACTCTTTTCTTTTCCTTTCTCTCTTATCCCGTTCACATATCTCCCTCTTACACCTCCCTTTCCGCGATTACTATATCGATGTCCTTTCCTCTCGCCGAATAACGCGTCGTATCTCGGCCTCAAAACGAGAAGAGATGCAAAAATAAGACGCATGCTCTCCTCATTTATTCATATACCAAATAAAACTGTAGAATTCTTGTGGCAGTTAGATATAACATACGCGCATTATAACACTTTATTAGTGTAGCTAATTATGATGGCAAGAAGTCAACGTCGACAATTTTCGTTAAATCGTTTATCTTCAAAGTAATTTGAAGTGAAAGGTAAGTGTATGAATACGCAAAGGACAAGAAAAAAAAGGTACAAAAGATGTAAATATACTTTGTTTCACGTTTTTATCTTGCAAAAAACAATTTACATCAGCCCGTTGTAGCTACTCAGCAAAGATAATGTACTATCTTTATCTCTCTTTAAGTTTTTTGCCCTGAAAAGGGACAATGAATCAATTGAAGCTGATCGATATTGGCTAAGACTGTCGCCGAGAAGAAAGGAACGTGTGTATAATATCAATCTCCTGGATAAATGAAGAGTGTACAAAAAGTGCGGAGTCGCGGAAGAGCAAGATTGATACCCGATGTGCCTGGACAAACGTCTAGAAGTCATTTGGCCTTCTTTTTTTCTCTTTTTTATTACAATTATTATTTCAATATTTATTCCTTCCTTTGTTATCAATAAAAATCGTTACATAGTAGTTTGGGCCGCTGCTTGGCGTCAGACGAATCGACAAGCATCCAATTATAGTAGTAATAGTAGCAGAGTAATAGTAGAGTAGTAATAATTGGTAGCGGTACCGTGTGTACGTGTATGTACGTAACCTGTCTTGAATGCGTATGTACGTGATGTGGATGCGTGCGTGCGCGCGCGCGTGTGTGTGCTTAGCGTGTATGTGTTCGTGATTCCTCCATGCATCGAATAAATATGCGGAAATCTCAGATACACGGGCAGGAATTCGCAGGTACACCGACCGCTATCGCACGTCCTCTTCTATGTTTTCGATGTAAAAAAAAGGAAATAAGAGATCTTCTTCCTCCTCCTCTTCCCTCTCCTTCTCTGTAGAAAATGAATTTTTGTGCGATTTTGATAGCGGCAACGATGATTTTGCCATGTGAAGTGTCTCGTGCGTATGTTAAACACGCGTTTCACTCCGCGTCGACTTCCTCGTCTGGGTCGGAAAGCCGGAAACCAATCCAAAAGGATGCGGAGACAGGACGCGAACCCGAAAGATAAGATGACCACGCGACCACGCGCGAGGCCGGCGTCGAGCGGGCAAACGAAGATAAGGGGAAACGGGCGAATAAAAACGCCGATTAGAAATGATTAGGCGATTCCAACAACGGCTGCGACAAACCAGTCGCGAACACCACGCGCCAACTTGCTATCTAACGCTGCCGGAGATATTCGAGGATACAAGTCGGATCGGAAGCTTCCGTTAATTTGATCGTGCATCTTCCGTCGACGCAGTCGGAGAAGTCAAACATCGCCCCCTCCCTCCCCTCTCTCTCTCTTTCTCTCTCTCTCCCCCCCCCCCCTCTCTCTCTCAATTAAGAAATAGGATGGTCTTGTAAGTATATCAAGCTGTATCAGAATTTAATATATTTTTATATTAATATTTAATATAAAACAGTGAGATATCTCTAATAATCGCGAAACATTAAATATTAATTAACATTTCGGCATTCTTGTATAACGCATATCGAGACCAGGCCGCCGTTTTTTTCTACACAAATATATAAATTAGAATTAATCGAGAAAAGGATTTATCTCTTCACTCACTTATTATCGCTGCTGTTTCCGCTCGAACGTCTCGCGAATTAGGCTCGTTCGATGGGACCCCCTTCGAGAAATCCCGCTATCGATATACCTGCGAATGCATCTGCCGTGTAAAATTTATTTATTCTCGCATGCACTTCTAAATGAGGCAATACGTGTATTATGTATGTGTGTGTGTGTGTGTGTGTGTGTGTGTATGTGTGAATGTTTATATATACGCTGATGTAAATGTGTTCTTTTTTTATGCATCTCTCTCTCTCTCTCTCTCTCTCTCTCTCTCTCTCTCTCTCTCTCTCTCTAGCGCTCTTTCTCTCTCGCTCTCTCTCTTTCACTCACACACTCTTTCTTACTCTCTCACCATCTTGTCGATAAAAATCTCAGCAGTTTATGACACATCGTTCGCCATTTTGTTTTATTCTTCTTACACATAGCAATAATAAAGACAGTAAATAGCTAAAAGGACCGTATCGATTCTTGGGGGAATGGGGGAGACGGCCAGGATTGCGGCCAATCCATGCCGTATCACCCGCTGCCGCATGCTCGCCCGCATCGTCATCATTTTATCATCAGCATCATTACTATTATCGCCGCCGCTATCGTTATCGCCATCATCATCGTACCTCCGCTCTCTCTCTCTCTTTCTCTCGCTTACCTTGTCGCATCTTCTCTCTCCCTCTCACGCATACACACGCGTACGCGCGCGCTCCACACGTTCACGTTCTGTCAGCATCTCTTTCCCTCCCTCTTTTTTATTCCCCACGTCTTTTGTTTACCTTTTCTCCTTCTCGTTATCTAGCTGTTATTTTTACGACTCGATCGTCACAATCGATCGTTCTCTGACTTCCTCTCACTCTCGATCACACACATACAAAACACACGCAAAAACACACACACGTATACACGCGCGCGCGCGCGCGCGCACCCCTCTCTCTCTCTCTCTCTCTCTCTTTCTCTCTCGTTCTTCGCTTCCTCTTTACACCTCGCGCGCACGCGTTCACTCTTTCGTGCTCCACAAAAAAGATAGTAACCCTAACACACAACAGTTTATTATTTTTTATTATCATTACTTCTCTCTCTTATATTTAATTCATATGTGTGTTTGTATCGTTTCAAGCGAAATGCCATGTAAACGGTTACAAAATTTCGCATCTCTCTCTCTCTCTCTCTCTCCCCCTCCCTCTTTCTCTCTCTTCTTTTCCTCGCTTTGATATCTATCGATCGATCATTATTGTGTCTTTCTCCGTGCACGCGTAAAGTTGGTGCGTGAACGAAGCGACTGTGTACACTTTGAGTGTGTTAAATACATGCTACGAGACGATATCGATCGCTTCCGCATGTACATCACATTATGTTCGTACGATATTTCTATATACGTACGTTCTTCACGAACGGCGACAAGGCAATTATCTCTAATAAATTCAGGCTCGAGGGACCGCATCCTCGCGGAAGCGATCGACGCTCCTCCTTTTTCCGGAAAACATAGCTGAACGCGTGTAACGCAAGAAGTGGCGGACGATGGCAATGTTCGTCCCGTGACGAATCGCGACGCATGTCACGATCCATTGCAATTCGTGCCTTTTCGATGGGACAAAGACACGCGGATGCCAGACTCCGTTTGCGAATCTCGCGATCGTCATTGGATCCATATAGTAGCCAGGAACCGCACGTACGTCACAATCCGCTGCGCTTTTTCGTGTTTTCGCGCATTGTCTCGCTCTTATAAAGATTTTGTGTGTGTGTGTGTGTGTGTGTGTGTGTGTGTGTGTGTGTATGTGCGCACGCGCGCGCGCACGTCGCTTCAAGCGCCGCGGCGCCGTCAGGATCCACGACGTCGATAACGTTCCGTGACGTGCGTCGCCAGCTCGATACGGATGACGGGTGGCACGGGTGCTATCGTCGATCGCGTCAAAGCCGCGCCATCGATCCTCGTCGTCTCTCCGCGCAACGCGTCAGCGCTTCAGACGCGATCTCTCGCATCTCTCGTTTGCGCGTCACAGCCGTCGAGACTCGTGTTGCGCGAATAATGTTCGGGGGTGGGGGGGAGAGGAAAGTTGGGAGTAGGTAGGTAGGTAGAGAGCAGATGTGGCAATGTGACATCGGTATCGGTATCGGTATCGATAACTGCCGAAGTTTCCCCCGCGATCTCCGACGCTCGTCGCAGACGACGCACGACGCGACAGTACACGCGAGACACGCGTATCCTACGAGATATATTCACGCGTAGATGCTTAAGTACGTATACGTGTACGACCGAGAAGGAGGGGTGGCGGAGGGAGACGAGAGAAGAAACGCGGGTTTGTAAGCGGCGCGAGCGTAGCGATAGAGAGCGGGAAAAGAGGGTTGAAGACTGAGGTTCGGAGAAAGGGGGAAATGGGAAGGGTTCGTCGTTGTTTACGTATGGTGCGTGCGTGTACTCGGCATGAACTCGCGCGTGCTTTCCGTCCCGTTCTCTACGTCGCCTTAAAGAAACGAAGATCGAGGAGGAGAGAATGATGACTGGAGCAGTAATGATAGTTGCTGTTCTCGACTATGTGTTGTTTTGCTGTTGTTTTGTTGTTGTTGTTGCTGTTGTTGCTGCTGTCGTTGCCGCTGCTGTTGTTGCTGCTGCTGCTGCTGCTGCATTTCTTCATCGTGTGTCGCGCAGGGCGTGCGGCAGTTCCGGGGCAACTCGTGCGGCATGGCGCATGTTTCATTCGCTGTTCATTAAAATAATCGATCGTATCGTTTATTATTAATATTAGATATTTGTGTTGGGTCCCAGAGGTTACTGTAACAGAAAACAAGATTAAGGTGCGGGTTAGTCGGCTACGGGACGCCATTCGTGCCTACACGCTACCTCGTTTCCGTACCCGTTCTTTCGTTCTTTTTTTTCTTCTACATATTGTAATTTTACAATAGTGAAGTATGTAGAAGAAAAAACTCTGCTAGTTTAATTTTATTCGGAGAAATATAACAGATTGTTTTTAATGGAAGAAAATCCACGTAATCACAAAGTAATAAAAAAGCATCCAGAGAAAGGAGTTATCATTCCCTCCAGTTTTATCGACGCACAACACAATTTCGCTTTTGAAAATGTTCTATCACAATTTTGGGAAATTTGAAAAATGCCCAAAATATCAATTTTCAAAAAAAAATTGTTTTCTGCATATTTCGACATAAAATAATTGCATATACATATCTAAATGTTAAAAAAAAAATATTTAACGTACAGTCCTGGCACGGATCAGAATAGATATTTATGATTGCACAAGTGTCGAAAGTTTCCTAATTATGCAATCATTATTGAATTATATTGTTTATTGTATTATTTATTAACATAGTGTTTCTTAAGTAAGTACAAAAATTGAAGGGAATAGTGGCTTATTTTACGAAAAAAAAGTCCTATAAAAATATGCTCTAAACTGCTTTGTTTTCAAAATATACAAAATTACCCATACACACGCCCCTGAAGGTGGATCTAAAAATGTTTCATCGATACTGAAAAATGGTTCTTAATACCACATGTACGCATACAAAATTTGAATAAAATATCTTTAAACGTTTTCCAATTTTCGAAATTTCCATTTTTTTTCACAACTTTGACACCCTACATTTTAAAAACGAAACAGTTTAGGGCAATGTTTACAAAACCTTCTCTTCCTAAAATAAGCCACGGAATATTCCCTTCAGTTTTTTATATTTACTTAGAAAACACCTTCTGTTATATTATTATAATTTTTCCAATATTCCTCCTGATCTTATAAAGTCATCCAATTATACCAAAAATAAAATAAAACGTACTGAAACTGTACACCATTCAAATATAAACTAAACCACGTACTATAACTACAAAATACCAATAAAAACGATAAAAGTCTATACGAATGATAAAAATGTCAATAGAAACTAACTTGGAAATCGTGCACTATAAAAAAACATGATAAAATACGAGTAAAATGATACTTTGGGTTTATTTTATTTTTACAAATAACCTTTTGTATCGATATGTTTCGAAATATTGATGTCAAGTCCTCCACTCGCAGTCTGGAATTTAAACAAACCGAAAGAAGAGGATGAATCATTGTAAGGAATAAGAGATTGTAACGTCAAATAATATAAAAATCTTTAAAGTCTCTTCCGTAAAATCATGTTTTTTTTATGTACTTATTATGCATCTTTTTTTGTGAAATATTAAACTGATTTTTATAATTTTTTAAAAATCTTTCCAGAAATGACTGAATTATAATTCGACCGTTTGTCTTTAAAACATTATAACTGTATCAAAAACTACAAGCAATAAAAAATGCAAAAAATTGCTTATTTCTTTCACATTATAATTAAAATTCAGATGGAGTTTATTCAAGAAAAAGTATTGATTACACTACAGCCTATTAGATGAAAAAATAATATTAAAATTTCGATTGATATTATGTTGATGATTTATGAGAAAAAGGGATATAAAGATAAGTAGCTTTGGCCGCGCCTATAATTTTTTCGAAACTGCGTCTTCTCTCTTAAGATTAAAACTGTAGAAAAAAGACTTCTATCAAAGGAATTTTATATATAATAATTATATTAAGATGTAATAAAATTAACACAAAACAAACTTAATAGTCGCAATTATGACATAAATAAAATCAATTGTCTAACAGTTCGAAAAAATAATGAATATTTTAAATCTCTATTTTCTCTCACTTCTCTGTACAATAATTAAAAATTATATCCACAGAGAAAAGAATCTTGCTGCTGCAGCAACATCATAATTTTTACTGTATACTCGATGTGAAAACTTCGCTGCCAAATCAATTATTTGATATTACAGTCAAAATATGGATTAAGAAATGCTATTATCGAATAACTTTTGTTTGTAGAAATTCGGATTTGCTTCTAAAGCAAATTTAATCTGCCGTTAAAGCAAATATGTTTCGCTATCAAAGCAAAAAACAGTTTCTTATTAAAATCCAAAATAACTTACAAAGACTCAGCATAAGATTTTCAACAAATAATATTTGTATTCTCAGCCAATATTTTTACTCTCTGCGTGAAAACCAACGGCATTTGCCAACTATATTTCTTTATTCTCTATATTCAAATCTTTCTTTCTCCATACTTGGACTGTATATCTAACAAATTCACATATTATCATTTATTATACTGATAGCGAGAAGTTACTTGTGCACTTAGTACACCCGTTTCCAAATTAATGTGGAAAATAAACAGATATGCAAAGTGCGCGCAGCTTCATCGATGACGATCAACGCGGGACATCAAGCGAACGAGTATCCATGAAAATTTACGAAGAGGCGACGTCTCGTCTTGTTCTTAGAAAAAATGTTTATCATCGCCGTGATGCCTAGAAACCCAAGCGAATGCGCGAGTGCGTGTGACGCGATTAGTCATCGACGCAAGCTGATATCAAGCTAAAATGCTCACCGAGAATTATCCGTCTATGAGTCACGCGGAATCCGCATATCACGTCACGTTGCGCCTGACAACCGAGCATCGAACTTGGATAAAGTTATATCGTTATCGAGGGAATAAGGAAGTTCCCTCGATCGGAAAGATTTCGGGAACTTCGGTGATATGATGTAACGATGATTCACAAAATAAAGTACTTCAAGTGTTGAGAATGATGGTGAAAACTAACTGTAGCTGTATATAGTTAATTATTCTGAGGATTACAAAAATGGAACGATAGTTGAATGCAAACATTAAAATTAAAATTTAATTAATTTATATTTATTATCGTTATTAATTTAACTTACAGTGTCGCAATACTAATTCGCGACTAATTAAGCCGATTATGTTCCATCATCGGTATTTACTGTTTTCTTTGTCACGTAACGCTCCATATCGTACTTCGATTGTCGGAACGCGATACACTACGCGTATATGTGCACGTAACCACAGCTTGTATTCGAATTTGCGATACAAGAGTACCGGGCGCGAGTAACAATATAATGTGCTGACAACACGGTCGCTTGCGCGACCGCACGAACACATATTGCATCTCGCTGCGAGAAAAGCCGGATAAAATCGGTTTCGCGCCATTATATTTTTCCGCTCTACGGAAGCTGGTCAGAACTCAAGTTTCACACAATATGATTGCAACAAATATGATGATGTATATAAAAATCTAGAATATAAGGTGTCTACTCCGAAAGATTCCTCGAAAATTCTCTGATTTTTTTAAGGAATCTTATTTTTGTTCAAACAGACAACATTGGAGCACGTTTAAACACAAATTTAAAATAAATTTTATTATTATTTGACTTCCTTAGTTCTTTTTTCCTCGTACGATCGTGAGAAAATTAAGAGCAATTTGTTTCAATATCATATTGGTAAAACTATTGAAAAGAAAAAAAAAGATACTTATAAAATAAATATTTTATACACATCGCATATTTTCGCCATTTATTTCAAAAAGTATAGCCAGAACGAATAGAATCTATTGTAACTGTAAAACATAGTGTTATTAAATTTCAAAGAGAAATTTTTTAAGATAAAATAAAATTTATCTAAAAATATATAATACTTCAGTACTAAAAACATGTTGTTTTGATATTTCCTAGCAGATTGACGTTATTTTGTGAGAAATATCACTGTGCCAAACTTAATTCACTGATCTCGCTAGAATCGGAATTTTATTACTTTTATAATAAAATTTTCGAAATCAAAACAGAAGTCGACGTATTTCATTGCAAGAATCGGAATTTATCATTTGGACAATCTCTTCCCGAATCTGCTCGCAAATGCAAACTTGCGTTCGCATTTTTCTGGACTGCCGTCGATTGCAATTTACGCGAATTATAGGAACGTAGAACAAACGTGACTACTCGAAGCAACGACCTGGCCGAAGGGAAAACATTTTTTCCGATTTCAAACAGCTTGACGGGCGCGCGCGAAAACGCGCATCGGCACAATAGGGGCGTGTGCGAATGTCCGCGAGTATTGAGTGACAAGCCGATAATGATAAGCCCATATGGGCGGCGTGGGGAGAGAGGCTTGCTGGTTAAATCGAAGCGAGAGGAATCATGAATAAACGTGTTAATCCGATATGTCGCGCAGGTAGCGATGGGCCTAAGACACACTGACTCGAATAGGTTTAAATATTTCCCAACTAACAAATAAAGAGTTAAAAATTCACGAATGCATTGGAAGTATAATCGAGAGTCTTGAATATTTTAGAAATATTATATATAACACTTTTGTTATTATTTCAGTTTATTCTTTCTTGTAAACGGAATATTCATTCGATTTCATTTTTAACAAAGATGTTTAAAAACATCTGACGGAAGATTATTTAGACTTTAGAGATTCAAGACTCTTAGGCCGGTATTCATAGTCAGATCTTATATTTAAGATCGTCTTAAGTACAATCTTAAAATGTTATGAACCAATCCACAGAGCCGTATTAGTCTTAAGATATTACAAGACGACGATCTTAAAATAAGATCCGACTATGAATACCGGCTTTAAACTCTCAAGATTTTAAAGAATCTCCGATTTCGAATATTATTTGAAGTATAATTCGATACTTGAATGTGATAACATTTTTTTTTAAGTTTCAAAAAGAATTCGATTATTCACGCACTACATACACAGGCATCGCTGAGACTGTTAACCATTGTGCTTGATTTTATATGCGAATAAAAACGACAACAATTGAAATAAGTTATGTACAGTCCAATATCGATATTTCAATTCTGATGTCTAATTTATTCTACAGGGAACAACGCTTGCTATCAACGAGTTAGATTTTGAACCTGTCTCTTTTTTTTAACGTTTTTAATGAAACGATCTAATCTCTTTAAATATAAAAATAAGTCGCGAAATTTTAGCACACCGTTGCTCCAATCTTGAACACCGTGGATTAGTAGTTTAATGACCGGGAATCAATGAGTGTTTACAAAAAATAAAGCTCGCCGATCAGAAATTTGCTCACTATTCAAAATAATACTTCGATTTCGAACGTACGGAAACGTACTTGATTCCGATACGTTCGAGTACGTTACAATAATAATTTTCATTTATAACATTGCCTTATTACTCTCTAAAAAGTCGAAGAGTGAAATATCACTCAAAACGAGTGAAATGCAAGTATAACGAAAAGTTTAAATTGATCCTGTGCACTGAGTGATTCGCCACTCTAAAAAAGAGTAAAATTGCGCTCTATAAGTTGGAGTGAAATCGCACTCCGTTTGATTGAAAGGGCACTCTTTTCGAGTGCAGTAAATCAGTGTCCATATAGGAGTGAATTATGTCACTCTACAATTTTGAGTGGAAAATTTCATTCTGTTAGTCATTTATCAGTCGATCTTTAGTAAACCATGATTTACTCTATAACCTTAGAGTGAGATCGTATCATTCCAGAGTAGACGCTCTAAAAATTTAAGTGAAAAAAATCACTCCTAAGATATGAGTGTCCGCATTTACTCAAATTAGAGTGACAACCTTCTCTTTTGGAGTGATTATTGCAATCACTCTAATATATCAGTGACGAAACAACTCTATGAGATTTAGAGAGTAATTCGTTAAAATTTGCGTTAATATTTTTGAATTGTCCAAATTATTTAGTATCTTACAATTTTGCTCACAAAGATTTTATCTCTACTGTAATGAAGGCAAGGCCGAAAAATTTCGTTCGTGAGTGGTTGAAAAATGCTTCTAGGGGCGAATTTAAAGGAGGTGAATTAACGAGGTTACTCTTTCACTTTACGAAAGTTGCGAAAGTTTAAAAAAATATGCGATAATAAATATCTCCCAAGACCTGTAGCAGAGAATTTTTTAACTGATAAGGGATTTCTCACCCTGTACCCGCGCCTCGGGGAGGTTTGCATAATAAAGCCCCTCTCTGCGATCGCGACGATTACCTTAAAGTTAAAGCTGTCGTCATACTGACCTAATAGCCGCAGGACACGAGGTATTCGCCCAATTTTTCAACGACAGATGCGGCTTGCTGTGGTTGTATGGGGTCCTCGTACAGGGAGACAACTACGGCTTGCGTCGTCTTCATGCAATGGACGCCGACTTTGCCGAGTTTCGCCCTTATCACACGATCCGTGCCCGATAGGTAGATGTACCTATTGCCGGCTAAGGTAACCCCCGACGACGTCAGGATGTCCTGCTCTTCGAAACTCTGCACTAATTTCGCGAGCTCCTCTTTACTTACCTAGAAATAAAGAAAATCCTCTTATCAGTATGTACAGCGATAGCATGATGATATCGTGCTTACACTACGCAAAGATCATTTCATACATATATTATATGTGTTGTATCCCGGAAACCGTCTCAAAAAGCTCTCCTTATCGTGAAAGAATAATTATTATGGCATTATGTGCCATAATTTTCTCGCTTGGACATCCATGCAATTTAAATGTAATAAAGATATTCTAATTTAGAAAAAACATAGATACATACTTTGATAATCTATTATTTCTTATTAATCATAAAAGTTGTTAATCATAAAAATTATACTATGTTAAAAGATATTATTATACAAGTTAGTATAAACCGTTATCCGAGGTAGAAAATTATTCATATTCATAATTTCTTCCTCGGTTGTTTTAATACAAATAATAAAAAAAAATTGGGAAACATTACGAGAGAAAGAGAGGGATTTGTTAGCAAAGCATATTCAAACAACTGTGTTTTCAATGCTACTTATCATTTATACATCACTAATGTCCATTTCTACCAATGTAAATTAATTTTAATCTTCTTAAGAACTAGAAAAGGATAAAAAGTAAGTTAAACGAAAACTAAAGTTTATCTGCATTGATAGAAATGAATACAAACGTGTTATTGAATTTCAATTACACAACCATGAGCATCAGATTTTCCAAGCAGATAATCGTCTTTTATTATTCATGCTTGTTATATTTAAAGATGCTTTATATATATGTATATGTATATATGTATACACGTTCTATCTATTTTATTCTCACAGATAGTTCCAAATCTAATTACAGGAATGTATAAGTGCCACTTGCGCATTTTATACTAAAAATGTTTCATTTGATAATGGAACATTCGGGCAAATCAAACATATGAAACGAGCGTTTTCTATCTCATCACTCGTGATTTCGCTTTGACACATACAAATGCTACCTTAAGATTAAATAATTAAACATTATGGACAGCTAAACATATATTGATAATTAAATCTTGTATTTGTTAAATAAGATCCATTTGAAATTGACCAAGGATTGAGTTTATTGTTGTTCACTTCATTATCTATCTGAATATATTTCCATTTATCAAGACCTTTGAATAATCAAGATAATTTCGCGCACAATTGATTGAATTTGTAATTTTACAGAACAAGTATTCTATAGAACATCATACATTAGAATAAATTCCCTGATTTTCAAGAAAAATTTGAGTGTTTTTTTTTTTAAATAAATTTATATTATATAAAATTTCTTATTGTCAGATCTTTCCTATTCATACGATCATAGAAAAAATTAAGAGCTATATCTGTTTCAAATGTTAGACTTGAAAAGATAGTAGAAAAAAGTGGAAAATTTTCATAAAATAAGCATAAGAAAAAGAAATTTCAAATAATTAAACTAAGTTTCTAGCAAATCTATACATGAAAACAAATGAAAACAGAACTTATCTAAAAATCTAAACAAAACAAATCTGAAAACTTGAGAATCTAAAAGAAAATATAGAACTTCAGTATGAAAGACTTACAAAATAAAAATAAGATCTTTGAAAAAAATTCTGATAAACTTGAAAGTTTTCCATTCGCAAAAAAATACGTACTACCTGCAAGTAAATATTACTTGTTCTAAGTATTTAATAAATTTATATCCGTAATCTACCATAAAGTCATTATAAGTATCACATTTCTCAAAACATATTCTAGATCTTAGAAAGTTTAATACTTCAAACAAGAATATTTAATTAATACAGAAATTTGGTTTGTATATGTATAGAGTCTATATAAAGTCTATATATGTACCTATAGAGTCTATATAGAGTTTACGGAAGAGAAGCAAATACTTTAAGAGATATTACATTTTCTTGAGAAAAGTTTATTTACAAATTTGTACTTGAATCAAGTATAAATTTTATTCATTTAAAATAATCCGGTTACTTAAAAAAAAAAATTATATTCTTGACGATGATTGATTCCTTTAATTCCTAAAGTGGAACATGGGGCCTTTTAGGAGCTGTTTCAGTAATCGCTTTAAATTCAGATGTGCGACAGTTTAGAATATTAAAATTTCTGTGATCAGGTGGATTCAAACCCGGTTCTTCGTAACCATGAGTCTGGCACTTTACCACTAGACCACACCTCTGATTATATTCTTAGTGCTGTAGTATAAGAATAACTTTCTTTCTTCCAAACTATATTTCGTTTGTTTTAATTCTGTTGCAGGGAATTGAAAGAAACATGCTAAATTCTTCTATCTAATAAATATTCTTACGTCAATACATGTATAATATCGTAAATATTCAAAGTTATAATTCTAGGCAGCATTTCTTCGATAAGATTTCATAATATTCTTGAAACAAGAATAAATTCTTCTTTTATAACATTCACAAAATGATGAGCTTTTCTAAGACGAGTGACGAGTATATCTGAAAACTATTATTAAGAAAATATTCTTTGTTGAAGAAAACTTAAAACAAATCAAATAAAGTAAGTAATTGCTTTCCTTGACTGTAAAATAATATTTTTCTGTGTGCAGATACTTCCGGATAGTAGGCATTCTACTTTAATAAAAAAAAAGTCGAAGTGTGTGTGTGTGTGTGTGTGCGTGTGTGTGTGCGCGCGCGGGTGTGCGTGTGTGTGTACATATGAGATTCTTACACATATGCATAATGCGAACAATCCCAGCCAAATACTATACCTATACATCATTTGAATATCACTAACTTTTTGATAGTATTATTGTCAAAGCGGACAAACTACCTTAATATCTTCTTTATCGTGTTTTGTTCACTACTGACGTTCTCGCATAAATCTCTTGGAAACGCGGCAAACGCCAAACGGCACAACAGTGCTCAGATTTCAAAGCCAAGTGTCTCAAAGTCAATTGCTCTTAACTCATTCGTGCCCAACGGGTCGGCCGACATAAAAGGAAGATAATCAACGATAAGAGCCATAATTCACGTTAGCATCGATCCAATATGCTATAGCAATTGTTGCCAAGTATAGCGGTCGTCCTACATCAAGTTGGATGACGACGAGCCCTTAATCTCGTCGAAGGTAACCGCCGTAATCTCAACGTAATTCACACCTCTTTCACAATAAAATCATGTTTCACGATATGAAATAATAGATTGATAACGTGAGCTTTTTATCTATCAGTCTCTCTCCCTCTCCCTCTCCCTCCCTCTCTCTCTCTCTCTCTCTCTCTCTCTACTTTATTCGGAGTGGATTTCTCTTCCGGAGCAGAAATTTTGACGTAAAAGTCTACTTTTGTCCAAAACGCAATAAAAGCACGTCTGAAAAAAAACTGCAGATGTTTAAAAAGCTAGTCTTCATAAAATGATAGAGCGTACGTAAAAACGGATAGATGCGGATCCTAAATGTCGACGCACGTTGCAGTTAATCCGACATGATCTAAGACGACCTTGAACTATAAGCGCACTCGATTACCGACGTCTTTGTACGGCCGGCCGCCGTCTTCTTTCTCACGGTTCTGCACATTCGTGCACGCCCGGCTGACTTGTTCTCTTCTTCTTCTCCTCTCTCTCTCTCTCTCTCTCTCTCCAACTATTTCCGCTCAAAACGTCGCTTTAAAGAGTTTAAAGCATATCCCGGTCAAAGTGCAAATGTTTCACGAAAATATCGCACTCTCTTGGCAAAATTCGACGCTCTCCATTCTTATCATTTTGGTATCAATAAAATCATAACATGTACTTTACCTTTTGATTAATTTCATACGAGAAATTTATTTCCGCGAAATATTTAATATACTTGTAATATATTCTTATAATATAATAATATATTAATATACTTATATTCCTATAATATATTAATTATATAAATATTTAATAATTAAATAAAAGAAGCCTTCTCTCATTAAGGCTCCTGGGCACTCGTCGCGGCCATGTTGAAATGTGACGTCAAAAGCGAGAAATGACACGTTGAAAATTCTTACATGGTATTTCCAAATAAAAAGATCGTCGTATTACATTCATTTTACGGCTGTTTATTAACTGTCAAGGGAAAGGAGTAGACCTAACCTGAACTCGGTGTATTTTCAAAGTGTGCTGAAGTGATCTGAAGTGTTATTTTATGCAAATATCTTTTTATTTGGAAATGCCATGCAAGAATTCTCAACGTGTCAAATCTCAACGTTTCTCGCTTCTGACGTCACATCTCACGAGATGTCGGGAAAGAGCCCAAGAGCCTTAAGACTTTTTCGTTAAGAAACGAACTTTATATCGGAGAAAATTTGTAAATAAGATGATATCTTGACTTGTGACAAAGAATTAGTTGAGAGAGAGAAACGTTTAACCGATATTATTTGCACTTCTCGCTCACAGCACCGTAGAAAGGTCGTTTCACGTTACCCTCGCGGAGGATTCACTCTCTTAATATAGACGCACAATCGAGAGTTACGTATTCAGCCGGCAAAATTCGAGAAAAAAATTCTTATAGTGCCTTTCTTAATTTCCATACTTTGAATATAATTGCGATAAAAACTGGCTACAAATTGATTCGTAAGGTGGTCGATATCAATTTGTACTCAAAGGTTGTTTCTCTCTAAAAAATAAAAAAGATAAAGAGAAAATTTAGTCCAAACTTTTGTCTCATATAATGTATTATTTCCTTAAAGAAAATATTACAGTAAGAGAATCACATTATTACAAAATTAAAATTCCGAATAAACCTATTAAATTCGTCATTTTAAATTTGAAACGGATATGACTCACTTAATATAATTAAATTAAAAAATTTTAATATTAACAGTCACACAAAAATATTTCATTATATCAATTTTATTTTTATTTTTAATTTTATTTTACGGACTGACTTATGCATAAGAGCCAATTAAGGATAGTTTCTAGTCGCTTCTTTTTAAGGATTGTATTAACTATAACCAGTGACATTTCGTAATTAAGAACATAAGACATAAGAACATAATGATATAAAAACTTATTTAATACGGAGAAAAATATTTCTATAAAATTTTTGACATACACGGA